AGTTCTTTTCTCTCAGCACTTGGGAAATATTATTCTGCAGTCTTCTATCCAGCTGCTCTGACTTTGGGTGTTATCTGTCTTCTTTCTCAGATAGCTTTTGAGATTGACTCTTTCTTTGTTTTAAGTTATACTCTGCTGTATCTAGGTTTTTAAATTATACTTATTTATTATGTTTGGTATGTTGGGTTACTGTGGAAAATAAATTGAACATCTGATTTAAAAACAAGAACTACCCTGTAGGCAAGAAGGAGGGGAGTGTTTGCCCCACCTCAGTCAGGTCTTGTACACATGCATCTCACAGCTGTTCTTTTTTGTTTGTTTTGAGAGACAGTGTTTTACTCTGTCGCCCAGGCTGGAGTACACTGGCATGATCATCGCTCACTGTAGCCTTGAACTCCTGGGCTCCAGTGATCCTCCACTCTCAGCCTCTGAAGTAGCTGGGACTACGGTGAGCTGTGATTGCAACACTGCAGTCCAGCCTGGGTGACAGAGCGAGGCCTTGTCTCTAAAAAAAACAAAAAAGAAGGCCATTTGAAAGAGGTCATGGTGTATGTCTAGAAAAACATTTAGGATTTTTATACTGTGGAGAATTTTCCTTTTCCTTTCTCCAGCTACTGATGTGTCTTAAACGGAAGGACTGATTTCTTTCTCCTCTTCTGTGGACGTGCCCGCCACTCATTTACATCTCTGTACTCACAGACACGCGTTCCCAGAGATCGTACCTGCTCACCGTCATCATAAGAGATCTTCAAGGAAATAGGCACAGTGGGCCCCTGGTTCAGACCCAAGTCTTCCTTAAATTAACTTGTTATGCACTCCAATTGCCTGATTATACTGTTCTTATCAATCGAGCAGATTCGACATGTCAGTATGGGAAATCTGACGTTCTCTTAGATGTTTCAATCCTGTTCATAAACTCATTAAGACTTCTATTGAAAACTACCTATTTCAAATTAGTTATAAGGCTGTCCCTAAAACAGCCACATTTTCTGACAATTTCAAGTATATATTATACCAAATATGCATAGATTCTTTATTAATCCAGAATCATAAATCTATGGTTTTGCTTCTTTCAAGCCTTTCTATATGCAACTCAGAGTTTTATTAGGTCATTAAATATGAAATGACTGATTTTGAATCAAAAGTTTAGTTTATTATATTTCTAACAAGAAGCAGTACAATTAATCAAAGTATGTACCTAAACTATTGACACAGTTTTGCCATCTTAATGGTAGCTTGTTCATGCCAGCAGTAAAGAAACCTGGAGAGCAAGTGGCGATGAAATCTAGAAAGGTGTTTTCCACAGCTTGTTGAAAATTGAGTATTTTTCCTTGCACAAAGTGGTTCAAAGCCTGGAAGAAGTGGCAGTCAGTTGTTGCAAGGTCTAGTAAATACTGTGGATGACAGAGAGTTTCCCAGTCCAGCTGCTGTAGTTTGAGCAGCATTGTTTGTGCGACATGTGGTCTTGCAAGAGGATTGGCCTGTCTCTATTGACCAGTCTCAGCTGCTTAATCACAAGTATCCTCATCATTTCATCCAGTTGGTTGCAGTAGACATCCACTGTAATTGACTGACCAGGTTTCATGAAGCTGTAGTGGATAATACCAGCGCTGGACCACCAGACACCATTAGCTTTTTTTGATGAACATTCGGATTTGGATTGTGTTTTTGCACTTCATCTTTATCCAGCCATTGTGCTGAATGCTTGTGATTGTCCAAAAGAATCCATTTTTCATCACACATAACAACACAGTGTAGAAATGGTTCGCCTTTATGTCATGACAGAAAGGCAAAGAAAGCCAAGC